TATATATATAAAGAGAGAGTTCTCAGAAGAGGGTGGTGTTGGTGTGGGCAGAGGGACTCATGACAAGGAATCTGGTTGGACCAACCAGGCTGGGGTGAATCAGGAGTTACAGGCAAACCTCAGAGAGTGCCAGTAAGCCCTGTCCGAGCTGGGAGAGTCCCAGTAGTGTAACGCATCCATGTGCTACACTAGCTGCAGGCTTCAGCTGCGACAAGCAGTTTTAACTGGGATGTGAGATGTCTCTAGGACAAACGGATCTTCTTGTTTTTTTTCCCCTTTCCTTTTTAATACTGTGCATCTTTTCTCCTTAGGAAGAAATCAAGTGTGAGGAAGCTGAGGGAATAAGCATTTTTATTTTTAATTTTAAAATTATTATTATTATTATTATTATTATTTTAGTTTTTTGAGACAGGGCCATACTATATAATTGAGACTGACCTGGAACTCACTGTGTAGCCTAGGCTGGTCTCAAACTCACAGCGATCCTCCTGCCTCAGCCTCCCGAGTGCTGGGATGAGAGGTGTACACCACCACGCCTGGCTGAATAAGCATTTTTAGTGAAAAGAGACTGCATAATTCTGAAAGCACTATTGAAACAACTACTACTTTGTCATAGATGGCCAAGTTTTTTCCTCCTACTTAGAGGGTTGGAGCTCATGAAGAAGACTGTGATATTGTAGTTGCATTTTGTCTTTATATCTAAGTTGTAGAATGTGCCATAGGTGTGGTATTAATTTGTATGTCTTGGCCCCAAGATTCTATGGAATCTAAGCTGTCTCCCATCGAAGAAGAGTCTCATGAAAAGTATCTGTCGTCTTGGTCCTTGAGTAGAATCTGTATTCATAGTCACCATGGCCTTCATCCTGGGGCACAGAAGTTGAATGAAGTCAGAACACTTGATGTAGGGATGTATATGAAGGCCCCACCAGGAAGCAGATCACAAGAGAATGAACGTCTAGATCTACTTCTAGACATCACTGTAGATATGCAGTAATGTGTGTTTGAAGGCCATTCAACAGGGGAAGGAAATAAAGACTTGGCACCGTAATTTTGAGTTGCTTGATATTAGCTAATTTACTTTCCAATAATAGATTATGCTTGAATATCTTTCTGGATATTGCAATCTTAATTTCCACCAACGAGGAAGATGATTAGTGGAATTAAAATGTGAAAATAACTCATCTAAGAATGTTACTGATCTCAGAAAGAAGGTGGAAATGGGAACTTTTGATACCAGGCAGGTAGGGAACTGCAGTATTGGTTTGTTTTATTACTAGCAGGAAAAGATTTATCATGTCAATTAAAGTTAAACATGCAAAAACATTGTCGAGGTGAACTACACTTGAAAATATACTGGCAAAGACAATCTATAAGGACATCTGGATCCTATCTTCATTACAGATTTAATTACTGAGCTTCTTGCAGTTTCTTAACAAAATTAATGATTTCCAAAGAGATTTCATATAGCTATTGAGTTCTGCTGGTGATTTAGACTGGGGAGATTCTAATTAGGCTGGACCACAGGACTGAAATTCTCACACAACACAAACACAGACGATTCATCATTTTCCAATACTTTGAGATTTTTAAATATGATGTCAAAAGAAAAAAAAAACTACATCACTAAGCATAACAATTCAGAATATTTCTTCCAGAATATTCTTAAGGATCTTCCCAATTTGAATATTTTACAGATTCATTGACTGAAATATCCAACACAAAGTCTTTGTTACCAAGAATGAAGATGTGCTTTTTTTTTTTTTTTTTTTTTTTTTTTTTT